TGTTAGGGGGAAGCTGGTAGACTAAAGGAAGCGTGGAGTGAGTCTTGAGACATTCCTCAGATAGGACAAGGAGCCGTGACCATAAGGACCTGCTTCTGTCTCTTATACACATCTAGATGTGTATAATTGTGTTCTCTTTCGTTATGTGGTTGTGTAATATCAGTAAGCCTGCTTGCTAAAAAGTGAGGGGGGGGGGGGGGGGCGGCGATAGAGAGAGAGATCCAAGTAAGTTATCATTCAGTCTCCAGGGAAGTCTAAGTGAACCATCCATGCTCTTCTTGAGGGTTGGATGTTACATAACCCTCTGTTGTTTCGTATGTTGTTATCTCTGTCCTGTTGTCTTGTTTTCTGCATATTTGTTTTTTGAGTGCTTCACAGGTCTTCCACAAGAGAATGCCAAGCGAGGCAGTTGACTTGGTGTCAAAGTTACTCCAGTACTCTCCTCACTTGCGGTACAACGCTGTAAGTATGTGCAAAATGTGTTCCAGGTCTGCAGAGTGCATTGCATGTCCATTCCTCCTCCAAGCAAAGCTCCCGAATAACAAAAGGATTCATCAGTGAAACTTGTTGAGGAAGGGGTGTGTTCAGTCCGAAGGGCCTTGTGTACCCATGTTCTTTGTTTGGCCCCCCATTGCGTTTTCTAGCGTTGTAAAAGTGTATCAATAACCAGAAAGCAGATCAACACCATTCAGCGCTACCAGGTCCAGGCTATTGGAAGATTGGGAACATTTGGAGAGAGAGAGAGAGAGAGAGAGGCCATTTAGACCACGGATATCTCACCGAGGTTTTCCATGTGTGCACGTATAGCTCCACTGGCTTTACTTGTACACATGCTATATTTGAAATGGCGTATGTATATGGTATATAATGTATGTATACGGTATACTGTATTTTAACAAATAGTACCTTACATTCGTATAGGCTGTACTCTTTGTCTTTGAAGAGCCCTCATGTGGAGAGCACGGTTTTCTTGTCTACTTTCTTTCAAGTGCACTGTATATACATATGCATGATATATGTACGGGTCTGTGAAACTCTCTGATAAAGCAGTCTGTCACAGCCCCTCATTTGTTGTCCTCTTCTCCGTCTTGCCTACGTGCAACCCTAGGCTGACCCATATTGTCCAACCTGATCGTAGACCACCCCTGCCCTTCGCAGCCTGAATGCTTGGCGCAGGCAGAGGGGCAACAGTATGTGTTTCCTTCAGTTAGATCCGAAAAATTATGAGCCCTAAGGCTGCAGAATAGTGGGTTGCCTCGTCTGCGTCAAAGTGGCACGGAATCTCAGAGCAGGCAATCACTCTACAACTGTGACTGGTCCTTAGAATTTTGCGGAGGACCAATTGACTCCCCGTGGCGGCGCGGTTGTGCAGCCTGTAGTTTGCGCGTTCATGCTGTTGGGGAAGGGTAAGGGCACTTGAAATGAAAAACATACGACTGCATCTTCCTTGGAAAGTGGCAAGATGCATGCGGTTCTCTATGATGATGTACACAAGTTAATACAACAGATTGCCAAACATTGGGTAATAAATGACCTGCATTCATGGTGAGAAAATGAAATAAAAGCAAAACTAAACGAACTATAACCGTATAGCGTAAATAAAGACGAATCAGTAAAAGAAAGACTAATGACGATCTCCTTAGTACCATTCCTCTTTCTATATGGTGACGTACTGTTTCATCGGCATTTCACGTACTCATCAGGAGAAGGCCGAATCCTCTACAGTCTGCAGTGCGCTTCCGATGATACTAAGTGATAGCCCAACTTATGCAGTTGCGGTTAAGCCACCAGTACGTGTCCGCGTTATGAAAAAAGAAATGTGACTGCATGCAGCGCCAACTTTCAGGGTGCGGAATCCGGACCGAAATGACTGTCGGCGTCAGCCAGAAGGAGCGCGCGCCCCGGTTCGTTTTTTCTTTGGCACACAGGGCGTTTCCAGCCCCGAAGAAAAGCGCCCCAGAAATACTGGTGGTTTAAGCATCTTGGACTGCCCAACAGCGGTTACCCTGAGTGAGGTGGGCACCAACCACTGCCCTCGAGGGTACCTGTGACGAACATCAAAGCAAACTATCACTCACCCACATTAGACAGAAGACTCTACAGACTGCAGGTTCACACCCCATAGTAAGTCAGCAACCCCCCATTTATTGTAATTATTCTAATTTATTTATCCGTTTTCTTTAGGGTGGGTCTTGGCAAACGATGGTATTTATTTTTTAAATATCTTCTGGTACATTATATTTGAATACGATTATTATGCTATACAATGTACTTTGTATTTGTGCCTAATCTGCGTATGTTATGTTAGGGGGAAGCTGGTAGACCAAAGGAAGCGTGGAGTGAGTCTTGAGACATTCCTCAGATAGGA